GTAATAAGTTGTTTGTGAATTATTTGATATTGAAGAGTAGAAAGAGGCGGAAAATTATAAACAAATAATGGATGTGGAAATAAGGTTTACGATAACACAGATAGAATAAAATAAATAATGATAATAATAAAATTTGAAATAAAAATAATTAAAAAAGTTCTTAGTTAAGTTATAACTGGCCACGGAAGTGATAGGGGAGTCACGTATTTCTTCTGTACACATAAATTGGGGTTATATGTACGAATTCCAATGGCTTCAGCTATATATAGGAGACGGGAACGGACTCCGTCGAGAAATGATGGAGGTATACGATAGATAACTCGAAATGACTTCGATTTATCTACTGCATGACCGCTATCAATAAGATGTGCCAATATAGAACTGCGAATAGTTTTTCTCTGGTCCTTTATGTACCAAGTTGGTAGATGTTCACTCATTCGTTGGTTAAGTTGCCTGGTAGTACGCCCTATATAGCTATCTCCACAGGAGCAGCTGAATTTGTAAATGCACATGGAAGAGGCCAACTCAGGTAACTTATCCTTCGTTTGAGTAGACATCGATAGCCAACAAGAGAAGGTCAACGCAAGATTGGCTGCGTAGAATGTCCTGGTGATTACTTTGGTTAACCTATATTTCAGTGTCACTAGCCACATCCCCGTTGAATTGCACTTTCATGTATACAGGTTTCTTACGAACAGTCGAAATCTCCGACTTCTTTATTATATCCTGCATGTACTTCTTAATGAACGCGCTGGGGTAGCCGATCTCGGTCAGTGAGTTGTTGATAAATTCAAGCTCCTGACTTAGAGTGTCTACTGTAAAGATCATTTTTGTTCTGATCGTGAGACATCTGACCCTTGTTTTGTGATTACTATTCCTAGTCTATTTACCCATGTTTGTTTGACATTCTATTTCCAACGATTAACTATTGATAAGAGTTTTGTTATTGTATTTTATTATTCTCACTATTATCAGTTCACCTGTCTTCCTACTACTATCAACCTGTAATTTTACCTATTAAGTGTAGTGACTTATTCTATTTCATAGTGATTATTGACACATATTGCCTTGATTGGTTTAAAATTTTCGTAAAAATATTCATGTAAATCAGAGTAAAGCCTGATGACGATCAAATTGAAAACAATTGTTCGCTTATATGTGTTGCTCTAATGTGTGTAGTGTTGACTTAGTAGTTGGACAAGTGGATTGAAATGTTGATGGAGAGAATGCATGGGAGACTGATTGGATGAATGTTTTGATGAGTGGTTGTGCGAGTGTTTGTACGAGTGTTTGTAGGAGTTGTTGGAAGAATGTTTGGATAGTTGAAGGCTTAATCTATTTGACAGATTGATTCACTGATTCAGGCAGTGAGTGCGTGAGTGAGTGTGTTTAGGAAGGAGAGTGTGAGATAGTTTTTGAGTGTGTGTGTGTGTATCTGTGAATGATAATGTGTGTTGTGTTGACTTAGTAGTTGGACAAGTGGATTGAATTGTTGATGGAGAGAATGCATGGGAGACTGATTGGATGAATGTTTTGATGAGTGGTTGTGCGAGTGTTTGTACGAGTGTTTGTAGGAGTGGTTGGACGAATGTTTGGATTGTTGAAGGTTTAATGTATTTGACAGATTGATCGATGGATTGATTGATTTGTTGATTTGTTGATTTATTGAATGATCGACTGATTGATTGAAGGACTGATGTGATGATTGATTGATGGATTAACTGATTGATTGATTGATGGATTGATTGATTGATGGATTGATTGATTGATTGATGGATTGATTGATTGATTGATGGATTGATTGATTGATTGATTAATTATTGGTGTTGGATTTCGTCCATTGTAGCTGAGACCACTACTGGCACGAACGAAGTGACGACGGAGACCGAGATTACGGAGACCGACACTACGGGAACTGAGGTTATGTTGACGGAGAGTACAACAGGTGAGTGTGTTAGTTGATTGTGTGTATGCAATGTACGCAGTGTTGTTTGTGTGAGATGTGTTTGAGTTAGTTGTGCACAGAACTGATACTACTGGTGATTTGGTGAATTGCGTGTTGTCTACGCGAGTATATCTCGTTCTCTTTTGGAATATTTTTCTGTACTTCCGCCGGCTATTTGATTATTTCTTGATGGTTTTTTTATTGTTCTGTTCTCTGCCTCCATTGCCTCGCTTGTATGTTTTCTTACGTTCTGTCAGTGTTTTTTGTCGTGCTTGTTTTTCGTTTTAGGATATGCATTACGCTCTTTAGTTTAGATCATTTTGTTTATTCTTTCCGAACCCATTTGTCTAGTTCACTTGTTTGCCTATTAACCTGATTGTTTTTATTTGTTACTATGTTTGTTATTCGCTGACCCTTGTCTTCATCGATCTGTATTCTATTTTCGTTGGACTTTAAATATCGATTGACGCTTGGTTCAAGCGAGTTGTCTCATTCACCTTGTCCGCGGCGCATCATTTCGTTTCGTCTCGCTCTTTCCTCTTCACTTTCTTCGCTTCGTTTCTCTGATCATTTGTCTGGATCAATGATTGTACGAAACATACATACTTAAAACTCGTTCTCGTATTTGACTCATCAAACTCGGTTATTCACTAACGCGAGTTAATTCGATGATAATATACGAGGGTTGGCGGTATGTATATTTCGATGACAATCATCACACGATATAATTGGAGTCAGATATCAGGCCACCAAAAGTGGTGAGCTCGTCGATAACAACATCGTTCGATCTAGTTGTCGTCAAAATGAAGGGCCACTCAACGTGACCAGCACGACGACGAACCTAACGCAGCCAAACTACGTCGATGATGAACCCTCTACACTCCATACTTTCAATGCACGAACTCAACGTAGCTTGCTCAATCGATAAACAACACAGTTTTCGACCATACGAGCAAATCGGAGAGAGATCACAGCACCACTAAAGTGATAGGCCCGACTTCGAACCTAACGCAACCTGGCAAACTAGTCGGACGATGATCGTCTCGAACTCTACGCATCCGTTAATCAAACTAAGTAACTGAATTGATCTAAGAGACACTCAAACTACTCAATCTCTAATCCGACACATTCGGCGAAGCCGGTACGGTGGGGACATGGATATGATCAAGCCGTATGACCTTATTGACACTTTGTCCTCGTGTCACCTCTGCTCACTGAACTGTTTAGCGCATCGTTCCATTATGATTATAATAATTATCATATTATCATTATCACATTAATGTCACACCACCACCTAACGTGGAATTATTATTGCTGTTCGTGCTGATATTAGGTCATGACATTTAAGCAATCATATCACACTCTCCATCAAAGTGTAATTTTATGAACATTTCATTTACGTTATGACAGTCGAAACTCGTTGCATAATTCTTTGATTTTTCAATAACGTAAAATTTTGCTGCTTTATGTGAGTTTGTTCCATTTTCTCCGCGTCATTTTTGCCCTGTTATTACACTCATTCTTTGATTTTTTCAAGGACGACACTCTCATGATATTATTTTCTGTTTTTCTATTAATACGTCTTACGCACACTTCATCTAAGTTTTCGAACTGCTGTTGTCTATTGAACTGTCTGAAATTAATTCGACATCAGTGTTATATATTTACGATTTTCTTGCTGCAAGTTTAGCTACATTGTTGTCTAAGTTGGGACCGTTAATGTAGTTTGCTACTGTTGTTCTCGTCATCACTATTATTGCTTGATTGTTATTTATGTTGGAATTCAAATTCTTCAATATATCAGATTGTACCAATATCATATCGCAAATTGTGCCACGACACATTTGCTGCAAGGTTTTGGTTGATGATGATTGACTGACAAGGTGATCTAATCTAGTTTATTACACCGTCATATAATAATGAAGAGACACATTAATGTGATGACAAACTGGCTGGTGAAATATGTTTAATTTAGGTCGTTTACAGAAATATGTTGAATGCAAAGGCGAATCTACAGAAGCGATTAGAAAATTGGAAATCATTAGAAACAGACCTGATGTGAGCAGTAGATTATGTGAAGTGACCTGATTGAGGCATTCAGTGATTTAACCTTCTATTCACTCCAAATTGTTTACTCCTGAATTCACGTTTTCATCATTTGTGTGCTTATCTAAATTCAAGTTGCTTTCTCCAATGTTTTGTGTTTGTGTTTCTGCTTGTCTATCTGCATTGCATGTAACCAAACTCCATGTGTTCTTTTAATGAAAATTTTCTTCGTTATCTACTTAAATGTTTTATAGAAGGCAACCTCACGAAAACAGTAGTAATCGGTAAGTCAAAATATGATATAGCAGTTTGTTTTGTCACACCAATTTATTTTCCTTACTGATTGTTTTGATTCTGCTTTCCATTTCATTCATCAATATGTGGTCACATTGCATTACATAAACGGTTGGGTGAATTGTTCCTCTTGGAAATTCAGTTTAGCGAAGAGATGTCACATATAGTACGCTCATATATTGAAATTATTTGTCAATCAGTATTTATTGTTGAGTTTCTCAGGGTCGTCTGGTCGCGTTGGCCACTATCTATGTTAAACCGGAATGATTCATAATCTTTCCAAGTGGAACAATTTAATTGTATTCGTATAAAAGCTAACAAGTACTGAAATTTACTGTAACTGTGGAAGTCACGTTATATTTGTTTGCTGAGCGTCACTTCACTCACAATATTGTTACACTTATTAACCAATGTGTGTGGGTAGACATTACTACTTGGTGTAGAATTCTTTATTTTCATAACAAACCAAGAGCATATAGCATTCAGTGTGCATGGATGTGGGAAATCAAACAACCATTTACTTCATAGTGTCCATCACTTTGATAGATCATAATCGAATACACTTGGATTTGTGGTGTGGAGTTGAAGAGAGGTCGTTCAGTTTTGTTTTGTTGTGCAACAGTAAGTCAACTCAATATTCTCCTTTCACTGAGAAGTCGGATTTAAATCAACGAACTTTGACTTGTTGGAAACTATTTAATTTCTTTTGTAGCAGTCTCATCAATGCTGACTAGATTGAACAAGTCTTTGGAGTGGAATGACAGTTTATTGGATCCTAGTTCCGATTTATATCGAAATTATTCAGCTGAAATTTGTAATTTGGTAAGTTTGTTACCGAGTTCTCAATTGAATTTACATAAAAATCAGGAAAACTGATTAAATGTATAGACAACCTGTGTCTTTTGATAAAGGGTTGAAGTTTGACATTTGAAGACGGTTTTTGGAAATATATGTAGCTATTTAATAGCTATTTATAGAAGACAGAGTACTATTTAACTGTTTTCTCCAACTGTGACGAATAGTACCTGTAGAAATTCAAGATGTTGTTTGGGTAGATTCCATGATCATTGTTTTATGCAATTATGGATTTAACTCGTCATGGCTAATGGTGTCCGTTCTTCACCATTTACCATGTAGATCATATCTCGTTTTACTCTACACAAACTGATGCAGTCTCAAAACACTCTATGGTCTCCAATCACTATATTGTTGCAATCAAATGAAGGCGAATGTGCTTGTTTCGTTTGATTATGCATAGCATAATTACCAGAAGTGGTCAACATGCACGGGCACGATCCTGTAATGGATCAGTCGTTTTGATATTGTAAGTAGTGACAACTGAGGTTACCCAGTCGATAAATATATTTGCTAATCCACGAGTTTGGAAAACCAATTTGTTCTCCTTCCACGTGAATGTAAAACTTCGGTGCTATAAAACTCCACCAAACTACTTGTTCGACATTCATACAACAATGATTTATGCCGATGAGCTAACTTCATCTAACCTAACATGAATGGCACCATGGGTAGCCTCACTGAGCTAAGTGGCAATATAGCACCATCTGCCTGATGTTATACATTGTGATGTCGCATTAACTATCAACTGCGACTAACTCATTTATTCATTCATTACTGACTATTCCATTGAAAAGCCACCGCTCACATTTCTGTGGCTTGAGATGCTGATTGATATCATGTGCTAAGGTTACCAATCGGAATTCTAACTCTAATTTCCTTTCCATTCTGTGTTTACTATTTCCTCCATGACCCAGTGTCCAAATAATGACCAACCACAGGCATGACCCTCACCGTCCACCTTGTGGCGATGCAAGCCAAGCTCCTATTTTTCCGCTACTCGTAAGTCCTTCTTTGCCTTCAAACTTGAGTCAAAGAGAGAAGTCAACAGACGGCCTCTATCATTCTTATACTTCAGGCATACGTGGACTCATATACAGTCGTGCTGGACCACATCGCACCACTGAGTGAAAAATCACAAGCATACATAGACAAGCCGAAAGTGTTTGTGACTAATGCAAGCCGTAAGTAGTAGACTGGCAAAAATCTGGGAGTGGAGAGTTGTCTATCAGTGGTTAACGGGTTAACCAAAAGCTTGTGGTTAACGTATTATATAGACACAGTAATCCAGTTGCTTAGTAATTATATAAGAAAAACATAGTTGATAGCAATAACAATATTCATGATAACAATTCAAAAACCATTTTCCAAATTTCCAACTTTTACAATATTCATCCCGTTATAACACGCACGATTTTCTTCTCACAAAATCTTCAAGCTTTTGGACAGCATATATTCAACTTATATTGAGGGAATAATCAATGTTAATTGCACAGTTGTTGGCTTCTCGCGTGGATCAGTTGTTGGAAATGCAGTATTAGTCATCGACCATAGTAACACAAGTGGGAATTTCTCATCGACTGAAGTGACAAAAGACATTGTTCGAAATGCTGTTGTGGCATACATAGCAGAAATGGTTGCCAATGGGTCGGAGCAAGTGTACTTCGATACATCAAGTGGCTTGACAGTAGAAAGTGAGTGCATGTGATATTTTCGAGCTATATTGAAATTGAATTTTGTGTTTAACGTCGGTCGAATAAACCAGTTTATCCTGCGAGTTGAGCGCCACGTTCTCAATGCATCTTGGAAGTTGATGATAGGGGAATCCGACACCGGAAGCGAACGTTGTAGGATTCAACTGATTATTTCTCACGTTAAATATCACCTGCATAACAATTAGCATGCATGTATGATGTGATCATCTATTAGATGCTCTTAATTTTAGTTCATGAAACTGTTTGGTCCTATTTCAAATTTGTTGTTCTAGAGAGACAATAGAAATCTGTCTTATCCTCAGTCACTTGTATAGGACCTTTCCATATATGCTGTTTGATATAGAATTCCGTTTACATTTTAAAGAGTCTTACAGTTGGTGAGATCACAACACACGACGAAATGGAATGTTCAGTGTTCGATCAACGAGGAAGTGGAATTGTTCACAAGTTTGAAAAACAACTCCATCACTTGCAAACCATCTGCAGCGAAAGTGTCTCGACTTCATTTACTGTCAAATACCTAGTCGCCTGCTATGGCTAGCAGCTAATCATAATCAGGATTAATTGTCATGCATACTCAGCTTTTTGTGACGTGAATAGATACACGTTTCTCATTGTATTTTCAGCTGTAATCCATGTGGCAACCACTGAGGTGATCACTGAATCTCAGAATACCGAGGATAACAAGACTACGGGTAAGTAAGTGGTTTGCAATTTTTTCACTGAGTCGATAATATACGCGAGAACTTATGTCTTAAGATTGCAAATTGTACGAGTAAAATACTCTGAATATTCACTTTTGTGAGGTGATTCTTCGACCAGTAATTTTGACTGAAGTATTATTGAGATAATCTTCCTCAGATAAAAGAATATGGAGTGACAGTAAATTAGTTAGAAAAATCCAAAATATCATATATCAGTATTCGCGACAACGCAGAAATGTTTGAAGTATGTGTAAGGTCCCCATATGACATAAAATTAAAGATGTCACGAGTAATCATGGTGTCGGAATGTAAGGCAGTACATTTAAAAAAGTAGATAAGAACGATTGATAAATCGAATAGTTATATTAAGAACGAATTAAGATGATGTGTATGTATGAAAACACATAGTGAAAGCAGCGAGTTATGCTTCACGTGGAAGAAATTAACAAACGCTAAATTACTTCAAGTAGATAAACGACATTTCGGGCAGTAATGGAAATTCATCCATAATCAAGTTCGCGTTCCTCATTATCTGCTTTTATGTCGAAAGTACAAGGAGATTGCTTCAAATGTAAAATCAGAAATAGTGAGGATCAACAACCAAAGAATAAAAACAAATGGTAAATAGTAGAACAATCACTGAATTGACGAAACATCAATTGAAAATGAAAATGTGACCGTGTGATTTACATGTAAGGAAGAAACTGTAGATAGAAACATCGAGAGAAAATGAAGTTCGATAAATCGCTGAACTATTTTGAAAACATTAACAATTCTGAAGGTGAATAAAAGTGTACTGAATTCAAAGACACAAAAATTTGGGAAAACACAGAAAGAAGAAAACAGAAACATGAAAGAAACGAACAGACAAATCAGAGAAAAATTAAAACAAGAAAAAGAGCGAAAGTACAGCAAAAGAAAAAAGATAAAAACTAACAAATGACAAAAGACAAGAAACTACGTATTCGTGAAAATGTCGTTCCAAAGAATTAATGTATGAACGTATCGAGGTATGATTCAAAGATGGAGTGATTGATGGATTGATTGACGTAATGATGGATTGATGGATTAATTGATTGATTGATTGAATAATTATTGGTGTTGGATTTCGTCCATTGTAGCTGAGACCACTACTGGCACGAACGAAGTGACGACGGAGACCGAGATTACGGAGACCGACACTACGGGAACTGAGGTTATGTTGACGGAGAGTACAACAGGTGAGTGTGTTAGTTGATTGTGTGTATGCAATGTACGCAGTGTTGTTTGTGTGAGATGTGTTTGAGTTAGTTGTGCACAGAACTGGTACTACCGTTGATTTGGAAGATTTCATGCAGTGCACTCGATTGGATGGATGTGAATTAATGTGTGCTCGTGTGTGCGTGTTTGACTGAATTGAGTGTTTTTGTTTGATTAATTCATTGTTTGGTTGATTAATTGACTGATTGAGTCAGTGAGTGCGTGAGTGAGTGAGTGAGTGAGAGAGTGAGAGTGTTTGGGAAGGAGAGTGTGAGATAGTATTTGAGTGTGTGTGTGTGTGTGTGTGTCTTTGAATGATAATGTGTGTTGTGTTGACTTAGTAGTTGGACAAGTGGATTGAATTGTTGTAGGAGAGAATGCATGGGAGACTGATTGGATGAATGTTTTGATGAGTGGTTGTGCGAGTGTTTGTACGAGTGTTTGTAGGAGTTGTTGGACGAATGTTTGGATTGTTGAAGGTTTAATGTATTTGACAGATTGATCGATGGATTGATTGATTTGTTGATTTGTTGATTTATTGAATGATCGACTGATTGATTGAAGGACTGATGTGATGATTGATTGATGGATTAATTGATTGATTGATTGATTGATGGATTGATTGATTGATGGATGGATTGATTGATTGATTGATTGATTGATAAATTATTGGTGTTGTATTTCGTCCATTGTAGCTGAGACCACTACTGGCACGAACGAAGTGACGACGGAGACCGAGATTACGGAGACCGACACTACGGGAACTGAGGTTATGTTGACGGAGAGTACAACAGGTGAGTGTGTTAGTTGATTGTGTGTATGCAATGTACGCAGTGTTGTTTGTGTGAGATGTGTTTGAGTTAGTTGTGCACAGAACTGGTACTACCGTTGATTTGGAAGATTTCATGCAGTGCACTCGATTGGATGGATGTGAATTAATGTGTGCTCGTGTGTGTGTGTTTGACTGAATTGAGTGTTTTTGTTTGATTAATTCATTGTTTGGTTGATTAATTGACTGATTGAGTCAGTGAGTGCGTGAGTGAGTGAGTGAGTGAGTGAGAGAGTGAGAGTGTTTGGGAAGGAGAGTGTGAGATAGTATTTGAGTGTGTGTGTGTGTGTGTGTGTCTTTGAATGATAATGTGTGTTGTGTTGACTTAGTAGTTGGACAAGTGGATTGAATTGTTGATGGAGAGAATGCATGGGAGACTGATTGGATGAATGTTTTGATGAGTGGTTGTGCGAGTGTTTGTACGAGTGTTTGTAGGAGTTGTTGGACGAATGTTTGGATTGTTGAAGGTTTAATGTATTTGACAGATTGATCGATGGATTGATTGATTTGTTGATTTGTTGATTTATTGAATGATCGACTGATTGATTGAAGGACTGATGTGATGATTGATTGATGGATTCATTGATTGATGGATTAATTGATTGATTGCTTGATGGATTGATTGATTGATTGATGGATTAATTCTTGGGTTTGGATTTCGTCCATTGTAGCTGAGACCACTACTGGCACGAACGAAGTGACGACGGAGACCGAGATTACGGAGACCGACACTACGGGAACTGAGGTTATGTTGACGGAGAGTACAACAGGTGAGTGTGTTAGTTGATTGTGTGTATGCAATGT